TATATATATATATATATATATTATATGTATATTCATTTTTTTTAATCTAATGTCAATTGCTTACGACATATCGCTAAAAAATATTCATAAGCATAAATATTCTGTTTACTATTTTTATGTGTGTAGTGATGCTGCGGTATAGAATTAAACTTATGTAGGGTAAAAGACCCCATTAGTAGCGGGGACCCCATTACTGACACTTTCTTTGATTTTGATACTTATTAAATTAATGAAATCATTAATTTTAATAATGAATATATTATTTCTAGTCTTTAAGACCTTAGATCAAAAAAATTTTTAATTTTTATTCCAAATAGAAAATTTTTTCATTGAAAGAAAAAGTGCCACTAATGGGGTCTTTTACCTTAGAGATTTTTCTGTGTAAAGAAAAAAAAACTTATTAGCTTGACTTTTATAAAGATACATTTGGAAGTTTTCAAAATGTAGACAAATCCTATGTAGGCATGTACCACACCCTATATGCCCTTCTATGATTAACTTTAATTAACATTAATAAAATTTTAATATATTTACAAATATATTTATATATGTAATCAAATACAAGTTTTCTCATATGATTAATGATTTATCGCAATATTACACCCATTAAATATTTATTATAAAATATAAAATTGAAACATACTAAATTTAATTATTTACTCTTGAAATAAGATGTTTATTTTATATATGTACAGAATAATAATCTTTATTATATTTATTATGGATTTATAAACCATTAATAAAGTAAATAATTGAGTATTCTAAACCATTAACCAAAATAAAATGATTATTATTTAATCTTTTTAAATCGTGATAAATTTAATAGCTGACACTAATTAAATTTCTAAAGGTCTCAAATAATTAATACACTTTTTATGCAAAAAAAAAGTCATATTGTAGTAGTTAGATGTCGTATTACTGTGTTATAACTATATAATAGAATTTCATCTCTTTATAAAACTAATACTTATAAAATTAATGATGTGAACATAAAAAATTAACATTGCAAAGACGTCTGTGCCATGACAAATTAAGAGAAACCCGTTAACGATCGATTAAATTAATAATTGCAATTAAGGTGACTTTTATAGACACAGATTAAAAAATAATATTTTTATCAGACTTCACTGAATAATAAATAAGAAGCGAATTTTTAAATCTCATAAAAAATAATAAAGATTATATCAAGAATAAATAATAAAAAAAAGAAAGAAAGTTTGAACCAAATAAACTAATGGACTCAACGTAAAACAATTAAAATTAAAATTTGATATAATTACAGTATTGGTAGTGTGTGATAATATAATTTCTTACCGTCTAACAGATTTTGGTCTTGGATAAGCTAAAAATGAATTGTCATTATGGAACGATGGCTGATGAATTTCATTAGAGTGCTCACAATGTTGTCCAGAAGTACCGTGAGGACAATAACATTCATACCCAGATTCTTTTTCAATACAATTTCCCTGACCGCAGATACCTTAAAAATTTTTAACCGGTTAATTAGTAAACAATATACAATAAAAAAAGGTAAATATTTACAAGTGGGGTCAACCATTTTAATTTATTTTTTTATTTTTATTTATTTAATTTATATGCCAAGGCATTAAGCCTAATGGCAAGTACAAAATATGCAACAGATTTATTCAATCACACAAGTATTATAATGTATATTTAGAACATAAAGGAAATAATTCTATGCTCAGTAAAAAGAAAGAAAAATAACGTAATACATGAAGGTACATAATCTAAATGATATTATGCAAAGTTTAATATAAATTTATACAAATTTATACAGAGAAACAATAGTTTATACAATATTCAAATAGTAAGAGGTTGCAAACATAATAATTGTCAAAAATTTGCGTCTTTATTCATAAAAAATTCATATGCTTTATTTTTGAAGATTTGAGGTAACGATGAGCTTTCATTTTCATTTTTTTGAACGAAATTTCTATTTGATTTTATTTAGATATTTTTTTTTTTTAAATACATAAACAATGAACAAATAAAAAAAAAAAAAGTCGATTATCACAATTTTAACAAATTTTCAAAAAAATTTATAAATTTTTTAGAAAATTGTGATATTCAACTTTTTTTTCTTTAATTGTTCGTTTTTTTATGTACTTTTCAAAAAAAGATATATCAAAAACATCAAAAAAAAAAATAAAATAGAAATTTTATCCAACAACATGAGCCAAAATTTTTTCCAACATTTTTCTCGACATTTTTTATCATAATTCCGCCGTAAAAACAAGCAGAATCAAAAAAAAATTGATCGATTAAATTAATAATTGCAATTAAGGTGACTTTTATAGACACAGATTAAAAAATAATATTTTTATCAGACTTCACTGAATAATAAATAAGAAGCGAATTTTTAAATCTCATAAAAAATAATAAAGATTATATCAAGAATAAATAATAAAAAAAAGAAAGAAAGTTTGAACCAAATAAACTAATGGACTCAACGTAAAACAATTAAAATTAAAATTTGATATAATTACAGTATTGGTAGTGTGTGATAATATAATTTCTTACCGTCTAACAGATTTTGGTCTTGGATAAGCTAAAAATGAATTGTCATTATGGAACGATGGCTGATGAATTTCATTAGAGTGCTCACAATGTTGTCCAGAAGTACCGTGAGGACAATAACATTCATACCCAGATTCTTTTTCAATACAATTTCCCTGACCGCAGATACCTTAAAAATTTTTAACCGGTTAATTAGTAAACAATATACAATAAAAAAAGGTAAATATTTACAAGTGGGGTCAACCATTTTAATTTATTTTTTTATTTTTATTTATTTAATTTATATGCCAAGGCATTAAGCCTAATGGCAAGTACAAAATATGCAACAGATTTATTCAATCACACAAGTATTATAATGTATATTTAGAACATAAAGGAAATAATTCTATGCTCAGTAAAAAGAAAGAAAAATAACGTAATACATGAAGGTACATAATCTAAATGATATTATGCAAAGTTTAATATAAATTTATACAAATTTATACAGAGAAACAATAGTTTATACAATATTCAAATAGTAAGAGGTTGCAAACATAATAATTGTCAAAAATTTGCGTCTTTATTCATAAAAAATTCATATGCTTTATTTTTGAAGATTTGAGGTAACGATGAGCTTTCATTTTCATTTTTTTGAACGAAATTTCTATTTGATTTTATTTAGATATTTTTTTTTTTTAAATACATAAACAATGAACAAATAAAAAAAAAAAAAAGTCGATTATCACAATTTTAACAAATTTTCAAAAAAATTTATAAATTTTTTAGAAAATTGTGATATTCAACTTTTTTTTCTTTAATTGTTCGTTTTTTTATGTACTTTTCAAAAAAAGATATATCAAAAACATCAAAAAAAAAAATAAAATAGAAATTTTATCCAACAACATGAGCCAAAATTTTTTCCAACATTTTTCTCGACATTTTTTATCATAATTCCGCCGTAAAAACAAGCAGAATCAAAAAAAAATTGAAAATGTTAATTTTTCACCTAGATATGGCCCAAAATGGGTTTGACCCCACTTGTAAATAATTACCTAAAAAAATTACTAAAAAAAATTACTAAAAATTAATTACTCACCTGGATAACAAGAGTCTCCAACATTATCGCAAAGATTACCATTGTATCCTGTACGACAGAGACAGGTGTAACCATTTTTGGTGGGAGCTTCTTGACAAACACCGAAATTATGACAAGGATTTTTAGAACAGGTCTCGCATGTTGATACGCCAACACTATCAATTTCATCACCAATAAGGTCAAGTGGTTTGTCATTAACAACAACTCGAGAAATGCATCCAACAAAACCAACGTAGTTCGTTCCCGCTTGTTGATGGAAAGTAACCGAACTAGGTACGCCACCGACATAAAGTGGTTCTTTCAAATCTAATCTCTGCTTTCTGCCTATGGCTGCAGCTTTGTAAGGGCCTTCTCCATCAACTAGCATGTAACTATCTTTTCTAGTACGATGAAGTTTGATGGTATGCCACTCGTCCAAAGATATTGATTTATTTGATCGAATTGTTGCAGTACCAGAGCCAAGATCAAATCTAAGTAAAATAAGTAATATTGTAGAATATATTTTTTAGAAACTTTTTACTAAAATAAATATAGATTTTTTTTTCACCTGAATTCTGGATAACCATCGTTCAATAATAAAGAAACAAGATCTCCGGTACCGTCTGGAGATTCGGCGTTATAGAGAATTGTTCCATCGTAATGCTCTGGCTTGAAAGACACTTCAATGTTAAATCTAAGATAAGAATCCGGTAACGATGGGAGGGCAATATAACTACGAGGTGCCTGGTTAAATTTCGGTACAACTCCCGTTACCACCAAAACTTTCGGAACTTCAGTGCTCACTATACTATTGGATACATTGCATATATATGTTCCTGCATCCTCAGCCCTTACTTTAGATAATTGTATTTTATTCTGCATAAAAAAATTATTTATATTAGAAAAATTACGATGCGTACACAGAAAGAAAAATTTCTTGACTGGAAAACAAAATTCTTGGCTCAAGAAAATTTTTAGGTGCCTGTAGGAAGACCGAAGTTGTGTTGGCCGAAGTAAAAATTTTTCTTTAAATTCAATTCTTGGTGGAAGTAATTTTTTTTTTATTTCAAATTATCATAAATACTTGATACAATAAATTTTTTTATTTGATCAAGATTTTTAGATACTTTAGGGAAACAGCGTCACCTACTTCAGCTGAGAAAAAAATTTTCTCACCTTGAGAAAATTTTTCTCTTGAATATTTGATACTCATTTTATATTATTTTAGCGTACAATTATACAGATTGAATGAAATAAAATGATTCAATATTATTTGATCTTGCCATTTGACATGTTAATCAATAAAAATATTAATGAAAATTTACTTCTATTTTTATATTTAATTTTTTGGAGCAAGAGAGAAATTTTCTCAAGACAAGAAAATTTACTTCTATCAAGAACTAAATTTTTTGGAGCAAGAGGCTGAATTTTCTGAAAACAAGATTTTCTTGACTTAAACAAATTTTCTTGGATCAAGATACGTATTTCTTAAAGCAAGAGAATTAATTTTGTTGGAATAATTGAAATTTCTTGTGTCAAAAACAATTTTTTTTTCGTTCAACAAAATAATTAGGAAGAAAAATATTTTCTTGGTTCAAGTAAACCTTTTTTTCTGTGTAGAATTTAAAGGATACTAATAATAATTAAAAAATTCATACGTCATTTATTATCGGCATAGGTAGAATACCACCGAGTTTACTCCACTTGTACGTTATTGGTTTTTCTGAATTCCATTCCGTTGGAGCGCTACATTCAAGTGCGATACTCGAACCATAGGGTACGTTTTTTACTTCGATAGCTGGTTCATCATTTTCACCACCTGTACATTAAATTCCTCAATTTGTTACAACTATTATACATAAAAAAATTTTTAACACATTTGGATAAATTTTTCAGAAAATTTTACTTACAATTATATCAATAAATTTGTGTGAGTTAAAAAGCACAAAAAAATTTTATTGAGTTAAATAATTATTATTTTAATTATACAGTATAATATGTAAAAAATAGTTATTTTAAATACCTTGAACAACGAGATTGTATTCTTGCTCAAATGCACCCTCAGATGAATCCACTCGACACTTGTAAATACCGCTGTCACGCATTTGTATGTCACTGAATCTCAGATTTTCTTCATAGCTGCGTGCAGAATATGGCAGTGGATCACGATCGGCTCTGAACCATTGATATTGTGGGCGACCAGAAGAATATCGTGAAGAAAATACACATCGTAGTTCAAATGTGTCTCCAACGTTTATGATGTCGGCAGACGGTTCAATGTGAACGGTAGGACCAGCAGGCTCTGTAATATTAAAAAAAAAAAAATAATAATAAATAAATAAATAAATAAATAATTTACTTAATGATTAATTTACACTAATGATTAAAAACATTAAGATATATGCAAACACACACACGGGACACAAAAATCTCAAAACAAACCACGTCGTCGCTGAAGATAGTGGCGATATCGCGAGATGCAGCAGAAACGTTCATCAGTAGCGTGGTTGCAGTGAACATAGCCATCACAAATGTTATCCAACGGAATGCATACTTGACTTCTGCATAGGTACAGTCCCTTAGCAAATTGTACCGAAGGATATATTGGCATGCAATCCGCAAACGAATTAACAACTAAATCATAACGCGAGTCATAAAATAACTTAAAGTCATTAATATTAATTAATGATATCAGAGATGATGCCATTGTCAAACGTTTCTCAACATAATTAAATTTTTAGCAGAAATCAAACCATTCAATATATATAAAAGTTTGGAAAATCCAAATGTGCACGACTCATAATGCTCATTCGTTCGATAAATAAAAAAAAAATAGTTAATGTTCTAAAAGAATATTTTTTTTAAATTTTATTTTAAATGTTAATTTAATTTTTTTTTTTATTTAAATATTACTTTCGTAATTTACTATTTTTTTTGTTGGCTACTTTTTTTTTTTAATCCTTTTAAATACAATTTCTTTTTTTTATTTATTTTTTCATTTCAAGTTTCGCGCGGTGCTTTAAACTGAGTGTGGATTTTTTTCATTAATTTTAGTTTTTCGTTAATAACAAATAAACAGCATTAAATAAGATGACCATCTTCAATGGAGATCTCCGCAAAGAGAATGCTAAGCTAATAAAAAAAAAAAAAAAATGATTGAGTTCGTGAATTTTTACGCAAGTTATCGTATTTTTAACGGAAAATTGAGTTTATTGACACGAATTTTCTTTTAACTATTTTGATATTTTTTCTGGTTCTATTATCTTAAATTGATTTTTACCAGTGATAGAATTAATCTGGTGCGCAAATTAATTAGACTACGTTGATTATCAATCGTGTAATTAATTGAATAGTTGCGAAATCGAGGCAAAACAAATTTTTCGATCGTAAAGCACTCTCTGATGCTTCGCATCATGAGTCGTGCAATATAAATAAAATTTCAAAAACATAGGCATGAAAATAATTATCACACAACTTTTTATCATCTTATCGATTGTATTTACTGTTTGAGAAATGATGAAAAGTAACAACAAAAATTTTAAATCCCATAACACTGAATTATTCAAACTAACAACAATAAAAAAAAACCATGAGCAAATGAAAAAAAATTTTTTATTCAATGAAATTGTAGATAAATAAAGTACAAATATAATTATTTTACTTACGTGAAACATGAAGAATAACATAATCACTTGCAAATCTTTGAGCGTTACGAATTTGACAGATGTATCGGCCGCTATCCTCGGGTCTAACTCTTGTTAATTCCAAATAATTATCTCTGACTCGTGCATTTTGTGGCAATTGTTGACCATCTTTGGTCCAATGTATCAAGCCTTGCTCCTTTGATTCACATCGCAACCGTACTGAGTTTCCTGCTTGAGTATTGACATCTCGTTCTACAGCACGCACTCCTACATCATCATAAGTATTTTCTAAAAAAAAAAAATATTAATAATAAGACATACCAGCTGTAACTCAATACTTGATATCAACTATAATTGTGGAAATATTTCTCCTTTAAAAGTAAGAAATAATTTTAGTAAGTAGAAATAGAAATTCTGAAATTCTTTTTTTTCTGACAATTCCTGAAAAAGTCTTTTTAAATCTTAACAATTTTTTATTTGATTTAATAAGTCGGTATATTTGGCAGATTTCGGAATCTCGAAGACGAAGTATTCTTAGTTAATAAGACTTTCTGAAGAGAATTATTGCAGCTACAAAAAGAGTTATTTTGAGTTTATCTTAGTTTTTAATAATTTATGCAGAAAATTTGTGCGGCTGTTGAAAGAATTGTTCAGAGATTTTTTAAATAATTAAGAATTCCAACAGAAAATGAGTGCGACTGTAAAAGTGTTATTCAGAATTATTAATATTTTCTGTAGAAAAGTCAATTTATAATTTTTTTTTAATTATTTAAGATACTGTGTTAAAGTTTTTAGAATCACAAATACCTGCGATCAAAATGAACAAATATTATTGGTTTATTGAGAAATTATTTCAACTAATGAAATATTGACCGACGTTATCAAATTTATAATAAAAATAATAAAATTTTGTATACAAAAGTGTATAATTACCATTGACCAACACTTCAGCTACAGCTTCAGCCGCACCAGCATCATTAGTTGCTTTGCATACATATTTTCCTGCATCTTCATATGTGATTCCATGGAATTGAAGCAAACCTTGGTTATGAGATACCGAGCGTGGTAATGATCGACCGATTGCAGCCCATTCTATTCTCAGCGGTTGATCTCCAGTTGCAGTACAAGTGATAGATGGACTTTCGCCAGGTGCTACTACTTGTCGATTTGGATGTAGGTCAATTCTTGGGGGAGCTAAAAAAAAAGATTATTTAGAATAGAATTGAAACTTATACTAAATTATTAAGGGGGAACACCACTGTAACGGTCGAAAAAAAAGGTGATTTTCGGGAATTTTTTTGACAGGGAAAATAAAGGAATTTGGGGAGCGGATTTTTTTTATTTTATTAAAAGTACATTAAAGATTATTACCCTAAATTTTTATTAATAAATATTAAATTATTACAAAATTATTAACAATCTCGTAGAGCACTAGAAAAAATTTTCCCCTCCATGGTCGCATCGATAACTCAAAAACGGATCATCTGAAAATAAAAACCTAAATTGCTTTTTAATCAATAAGGATGTAGTTATCGTCGCACGTACGGAATTTGAAAAATTTTTATTTTAAAGATTTTTTTAGCCGGGTTAAAACAAAAAAAAACAAGAAAATTTTCAATCACCATTTGTTTGAAAATAAAAATTTTCAAAATTCCGTACGTGCAACGATAACTACATCCTTACTGATTTTATTTTAAAGATTTTTTTAGCCGGGTTAAAACAAAAAAAAACAAGAAAATTTTCAATCACCATTTGTTTGAAAATAAAAATTTTCAAAATTCCGTACGTGCAACGATAACTACATCCTTATTGATTAAAAAGCAATTTGGGTTTTTATTTTCAGATCCGTTTTTGAGTTATCGATGCGACCATGAAGGGGGAAATTTTTTCTAGTGCTCAACGAGTTATCATAAAATTACATAAACAGTCAAGTTTGCCATTAATTAAAAACATCATTTATCGTCATAGTATGAACTTTTATGAATCTGTCAAAAACTATGAGTTCATGAACAATGTTTGCTGTGATATGAATATAAATCCATGGCACAAGTACAAAATCCCTGATTAAAAATAATAATTGAAAAGAATTGAAAAGCGGTCACTCCATGCATACTGTATATCTATATATACAAACAAAAGAATTGAAATTATTAAAAAGAATTCAAATTTCATCATTTTCAATTCTTTTCAATTAATATTTTTAAACAGGGATGCCTAACCAAATGCTAATAGACCGTAATCAATTATCAACTCTCTAGTCCTAGTTTTAAGTTTAGTATGTAAGAAATAACAATTATTATAATTATAAATCTAATTAGGTTTTTATAAACTTATTTTCTAAAAATAATAAATATTTTGTGTGTTTTTTTTTCATATAATATATATAACATAAACATATACTATATATATATATATATATATTGAATGTGAGTAGATGCCAACGGTCAGAAATCATAAATATTGTAATAATACTGTAATAATTATGTTAATTATATGATATCAATAAAAATCTAAAAAAAAAAGTGCTCTATGAGATTGTTAATAACTTTGTAATAATTAAATATTTTTCAATAAAAATTTAGGGTAATAATCTTTAATGTACCCTTAATAAAATAAAAAAATCCACTCCCCAAATTCCTTTATTTTCCCTGTCAAAAAAATTCCCGAAAATCACCTTTTTTTCGACCGTCACAGTGGTGTTCCCCCTTAAAGTATTAAATACTTACAAATAATTTCTAGATGAGATTTAGCTCTAAACAATTCAGCACCATCATGATTTAATCCTAAACAGATGTACTCGCCGGCAGCTTCCTTAGTAACTTCAGGAATACTTAAAACGCCATTGTGAACGGAACTACCAGCAGGGAGAGATTGTCGATCACTTCTCTTCCAATCCAAATAAATACGCGAGTCATCAGGACCAACTACTTGGCATCGAATTTCAACTCTTCCCCCACTGGGTATTCTCAAATAATCATCTGGAATCCGCACTCCCTCATTAGTTTTTCTAGGTGTCGATACTTGAGAACCAGATCCAGGACGATTGTAATTTGGTGGACAAGGCATGTCACCTCGACAAGGCTGACTAACATCAACATCATTGTCATTATAATCATCATCAACGCGAACATGAACTCTTTCTTCAACAATTCCAGCAGCATTGGTAGCTTGACAAGTGTATGATCCTTCATCGTCCAATGACATTGATACTATGTCAAGAACAGCGGATAAAGGTGTTGCTGGTGATGATCTCACTGGTGTCAATAAATGGTAATTGGTATTGTGTTTAGTCCAAGCAACAGCCGGCTGTGGAATTCCATCAGCGCGACAAGTTAATTTCAATCTATCGCGAAGTCTGACTTTAATCATTTCACCGCTTGGTGTAATAGTTATTACCGGAGGAGATTGTACTTCTATTCGTGCAGTAGCTGAGGTTGAGGCAACTTGATTTGATGCTGAGCACATGTACATGCCATCGTCATTTATTGAAATATTTGTAAATCGTAACAGGCCACCAGAAAGCTGTTCAATATTTGGACCAAGAGGACGATTATCTTGACGAGTCCAATGAACTTCTGGTACAGGATAACCAGCAACTACTCGACATTGTAAATCCGTAGATCCACCAGTGATTACTGTTTGAATATTCCTTGGATAAAGTTCAAGAATAGGAGCTTCACGCGGTTCGACTTCTATTATGGCACTTGCTTCGAATGTATCAGCAGAGTTAGCAGCTCGACAAATATAAACTCCTCTATCAGATACTTGAGCTTTAACTATTTTTAAAACGTTACCATACTGCTGAACGTTCGGGCCAAGTGATGATTCTCCGTGTTTTGACCACTTAACTCTTAATTCAGGATCACGGTCATCAATCAGACATTTAACTTCAGCAATTGTCCCTTGAGATACAGTTTGTCTCTCAGGCTCAACTCTTACCTTCGGTCGAGTTTTTTTCGAGTGTATTGAAACTTTTGCGCTATTACTCGTTTGGGTTCCTTGGTAGCCAGTAGCAATGCATACATAAACACCAGAGTCATTTGGTTCAGGATTATTGATTGTTAAAACACCGTCTCGCTGACTTGCTGATACCGGAAGCGGAAGTCCTGAAGATCTGGTCCAACTAACATTAGAATGAAGATTAGAGCGAGTGCATACCATACGGATAATATCGCCACTAGATCCTATCCACTCATTAGGTGTGATAACTGGCCCTTTATCATAACCGACAGTTGGTGGTTTATCGGGATTATTAGTTACGTATAGAACTGTTGTTTGTTCACTAACACCAAGTTGGTTTCTAGCAATACATTTATATTCAGCAGCATCACTCATTGACACAGCTGGTATCCTCCATACATTGTTTTGGAAAATAGCTTCTGGATTAATTTCACCGTTAATACGTATCCAGTCTACTTCTGGTGTAGGATTACCCGTTACTTCACAATGGAATTCTACTGGATCTCCTTCTTTTATTTGTTGATATGATGGACGGATTACAGCTTTTGGTTCAGTAGGACCAGAACCTAATAAAAAAAATTTTCATTGATTTTTTTTGCATTCATTATATTGTTAATTATTTAAAGTACCTGATATTTCTAACATACTTTGAGGAAAAGCTGCATCCATTACAAATAATTATTGAATAAATTAATTTTCTTTCTTTTTTTTTAATAAATATATAAGGTATAATAAATGAATTCCGGAAAAAATTTTAAAGTTATGAAAAATTCATATTATTTCATTAAAATTATTATAAAATAAAAATTATAATAATAATATTTTTTTTTTGTAACAAAAAATGGAGCGATAATTCTGGGGGTGGTTGTTTTTCAGGAAAATTGTAGGTGTGATACAATTATCTATATTATTAAGAGAATAAGCAAAATTTTGTGGCCAGTGTATTTATGTGATAGAATGGGTTTTTATAGTTAAATTTGGTATCGTTGAAAAAGTCTTGACTTGGAGTTGTGCCTCTTCATGGTTTCATATCATTCTTACCAATAATCAATTTATGATGATAAGTATTTAGGCTACATTCGAAAAGGCTCTATTTCTAGATACATAATTAAAAAATGACCTTGTATCTTGTAAATTATTGATATTTTTAAAGATATAAGCTCACCCCGACATTACACTCATCAAGACCTTTCATTTAAATAGCGACATCTATTTTTCATATATTTATATATATTATATATATGTA